TTAAAAAGTTGTATTTATTTTTATCGGAAAGGCAGAATGACAAGAAAGACAGTCACATCTTCATCTGCAGGTTCACTCCACAATTGCCACAATGGCCGGAGCTGAGCTGATACAAAGCCAGTGTATCCAGGAGCTTCCTTTAGGTCTCCCGTGCAGGTACAGGGTCCCAAGGCTTAGGGCTAATTCCCACTGCACTCCCAGACCATAAACAGGGAGCTGGATGGGAAATGAGCAGCTGGGACAGGAACTAGCGCCCATATGGGATCCCGACCTTTGCAAAGCAAGCATTTAGCCACTGGGTTAGCACACCATGCCCATTTGCTGATCTTTCTGCTGCCACTGGTCCCAGGCTGTCAGCTCACCTCGTGGTCACTGCTACTGCTGTCCCGTCCTCTCCAGCTAACCCCGTGTCCCTTCCCCGTACATTTTAGAAGCTGCATGTGATCAGCTTTGCCCTTTGAATGCAAATGTACTACTCAGAGTCACTTTATTTTTAATTTTTTAAATTTTATTTTAACTTGTTTTAAATTTATTATCATCTTCCTATGATACAGTTTCATGGGCCCTGGGATTTCCCCTGCTCCTTCCCCACCCACCGAATTCCCCTATATTATTACTATAGCACAGTTGTTCCTGAACAGTCACCTGTTCATCATTGCGGGCATGCACAATGACAGAGAGTCCAGCATCCTATTGTCAAGTACAGCTAATAGTTTCATTAGTCGTCCATCTTTGACCTGGAAGTAGAGATGCACACTGCACTGCATCCTCACCTCTGGACATGACAGTCTCCATTACACAGTCACTACACATCCCTCTTAAATGAAAAGTCACAATACAAAATCAACAACAGGAAGAAAAATAGAAATTTACAATGCCATGAATTTCTGAAGAGGTTTTGATAGTTCAATAGACCTGAATTGCTGGCAATCACTCTAATCATGATGAAATCTCTCCCGAATTGACTATAGCAGTCAGAGTAACTTTAAATGCGCAAAATTTTTAGATTTTTCCTAATAATTTATGTGCATAGCACACAATCCACCTAGCATAAAAAGGTGTTACAGAGAGGTTTGTCACTAATCTGTGCTCCCAAGGGATCTGGGCAACTGCTAAACTAAGAAATGCCTTGTTTTACTTATGTGCAAACCAGAAGTGCTGGCTGACTTGTGTGTTTCCTACTGGTCGTATGTGTGACTCTGAAGTAGGAAGTGGTTTCTAAAACTATCAGAATGTGAGATCGGTGACATTTAATTCTCATGTTCTCTAATGTCATTAGATAGTTTCTTTGAAGTTTTTTGAACAAAAACATCTGCAAAAAAAAAAAAAAAGTGTGTCCACTCGGGTTGGGTACAGTACCCTAGTGGCTGAAGTTTTCTCTTGCATGTGCTGGAATCCCATATGGGCACCAGCTGGTGTCCCGGCTGCTTCACTTCCCATCCAGCTCCCTGCTTGTGGCCTGGGAAAGCAGTCGAGGATGGCCCAAAGCCTTGGGTCCCAGCACACGTGTGGGAGACACAGAAAAAAATCCTGGCTCCTGACTTCAGATCAGCTTAGCTCCACCTGTTGTGGCCACTTGGAGATTGAACCAGTGGATCAAAGATCTTTCTCTCTGTCTCTCCTTCTTTCTGTAAATCTACTTTTCCAATAAAAATAATTAAATCTTAAAATAAATAATAAAAAAATTAAAAAGTGTCCACTTCATAGAACCTTGAACACCTGGGCTCAAGAGACGTGGATCTGCGTGAGCTGAATGTACAAAGCAAATCTGTTTTTCTTTAAAGATTTATTTTTGCTTTATTTTAAAATCAGATACACAGAGAGGAGAAGACAGAGAAGAAGATCTTTCATCTGTTGATTCATTCCATACGTGGCCGCAATGGCCAGAACTGTGCTGATTCGGAGTAGCCAGGATTAGAACCAGTGCCCATATGGGATCCTGGCACATGCAAGGTGAGGACTTTAGCCACTAGGCTACTGTGCCGGGCCCATCATCTGCTTTTAAAATTTGGTTTCTGTTCCTTCCTTTATACTTTACTTGAATGGGTGATATAAAGGTACTTAAAAAATCATGGAAAATTGAATTAACAAAATTTATCTGGTGTGTAGGTTTTTTTCATAATACATTGTTTTCCATGCATGGTTTTCTTTTTTTTAAGGTTTATTTATTTATTGGAAAGTCAGATATACAGAGAGGAGGAGAGACAGAGAGGAAGATCTTCCATCTGATGATTCACTCCCCAAGTGAGCCCAATGGCCGATGCTATGCCGATCCGAAGCCAGGATCCAGGAAGTTCTTCCGGGTATCCCACACAGGTGCAGGGTTCCAAAGCTTTGGGCCATCCTCAACTGCTTTCCCAGGCCACAAGCAGGGAGCTGGATGGGAAGTGGAGTAGCCAGGGCATGAACCGGCATCCATATGGGATTCCTGGCATGTTCAAGGCGAGGACTTTAGCCTCTAGGCCATGCTGCTGGGCCCTCCATGCATGGTTTTCAAAAACTTCACTTGTACTAAAGTAGATTTCTTTTTAGAGAGAGATTTATTTGTTTTTTATTTGAAAGGCAGAGTTAGAAAGAAGAAGAGACAGAAAAAAAGAAACAGCTCTTCTATCTGCTGGTTCACTCCCCAAATGGTTGCAGTGGCTGGAGCTGAGCTGATCTGAAGCCAGGGGCTTCTTCCAGGTCTCCCACACTGGTGCAGGGTCCCAAGGCTTTGGGCCATCCTTCACTGCTTTGCCAGGCCATTAACAGAGAGCTAGATTGTGACGTGGGGGTAACCAAGCCTTAAACTGGTGTCCATGTGGGATGCAGGTGCCGCAGGACAGAGGACTAACTTGTTGTACCACTGTACTGGGCCCAAACTTTCTTGTTTTTAAGAAATTTTGAAGATTTGAATTACAGAGAAACGGGGAGAGACAAAAAGAGATTGCCCATTCACTGGTTTACTCCACAAGTGTCCTCAATAGCTAGGGCTGGACCAGGGCAAAGCCAGGAGCCAGGATCTTCGTCTGGATCTCCCATGTGGGTGACAGGTGTCCAGGTACTTGGTCCATCCTCAGCTGGCTTCTCAGGCCATTAGCGGAGAGAGCAGGACTAAAAACGGAGCAGTTGTGACTTGAACTGATGTTTGTTCTCCAAAGCCAACGTTCATCACCTTCTTCACATAGACTTCTGAAATATTTAAGGGATATGTAAGCAAATTAACACACATGTAGGTATTTTATATACATGTTTTTATATGATTTAGGTTTGAGCTACACATGTTTAAACCTGACCACACATGCCCATCCAAATCACCCAGAAAGCTTGGAAATGGTATGCCTGTACCCAGTCAATACCTGTTCAAAATCTGTCATTGTGTTGTGAACAGAATGGCCCCCTGTATGTAGAAGGTTTCACTGCATGAAAGCTGTTAGCTCAGAACTCAACTCCTCAGAGGCAGGGGGCCATGATAGAGCCAGCAGCCTTGTGGCCAGACCCTGCGGGCAGCAGAGCAGCCAGAGGGTCACTGTGAAGAGTTGGAGCCAGCAGCTGCTTCGCTTGCTGATAAGTCTGAGAGGAAAGTGGCCCTTAAAAGGGCCTGGCTCCAGATTAATGTAATCAGCACTGCCATTATCCACACATAAATCACTCACTCCTCTGCTCTGGTTTTTCTGGTCCTATCCTACTTTTGTGTTTCTCGTGTTTTTTAAAGCACTTCTCATCATAGGAAACTTAGAAAATGCAATAAAGCATAAAGATAGACTGGTTACCTTGTTGTGAGGCTCAGAAATAACGACTGTAAAGCTTTTCAAAAATTCTCTTTAATTTCTCTCTCTCTTTTTAAAATTATAATTTATTCTTATTGCAAAGTCAGATATACAGAGAGGAGGAGAGACAGAGAGGAAGATCTTCCATCTGATGATTCACTCCCCAAGTGACTGCATCACCTGGAGCTGAGCCAATCTGAAGTCAGTAGTCCAAAACTTCTTCCTGGTCTCCCAAGCGGTCCCACGGCCTTGGGCCAGCCTCTGCTGCTTTCCCAGGCACATCAGCAGGGAGCTGGATGGGAAATGGTTTTCAGGACTCGTTTTTTTTTAAATTTCTCTTTTTTAAATTTTAGATGATGGTTACATAGTTGATCAAGGTGAAAAGGATCTAGTGTTAGGGAGAAATGGGTGTGGTCATTGTTTCCAAACTTTCTGTTTCTTCTTCCCATTTCTTGGGAAGAGAGAGAAGAGGGGAGAGATAAGCGGATAGGCCATGCCCAACCCCCTCACCATCCCAGTACCCAAGGATGGGTAAAGGCCGAACAATATCAACCCAGGCTCACAGTGGCACATTTTCCAAAGGTTCTGCCCAAGTGGATTCAGTACTTTCAAAATGCTGTCAATCTCACCCAGAGATGAGGAATTACTTCAGTGTCCATTGGCTGATACCATCGACCTTATAGTCTCCAGTTGCCCAGATATTTGCTGTCATTGTTATCATGGGTAATTGTCCATATGTTCTGTTCTTCATTCTCTGCTGTAGTACCAAATGTCCTCTGCAGGCTCCAGTGAGTTGCCATGTCTTCCCATGTGCACCATGGTCTGCCATCCAGCACTCCATTCTCTACATTGAGGAGGACCAGTTCTCCTAGGTGGGCTCATGGAATCCCCCCACCCCCTGGGTTCACAGATCCGACACCCACTATTTAGGTAGGCCCTAGGACCTGGGCCAGGAGACCCAGGGTCAAGATGGACGCCCTCACCCCTGAGATTCATGGGTTCAGTACCCACTGTGCAGGTGGGTCCAAGACCTGGGCCATAAAACATGGGACTTGCTGGGCCCCAGACCCCAGGGGCTCATGGACCTGGTCCCCAGCATGCAGGTGACCTGGACCAGGAGACCCAGGCCCCTCTGGGTCCTCTATCCCTGGGACTCACGGATCTAGCAATCACTGCACAGGCAGGCCCAAGGACCTGGCTCAGGAGACCCAGTCCCTGCTTGACCCCCCACTCCTGGGTCTCATGGACCCAACCTCTACTATGTAGGTGGACCCTGGAATCTGGAACCAGGAGACCCAGGGTCAAGCTGAACTGCTCCCCTGCCCCAGGGCTCATGGACCAGACCCCTACCACCTATAGAGTGACATGGCTCATCTTTCCTCAACATCCACCAGTGTGTACTTCAGCTGCAGATCAACCCCCAGTCCCAGCTTGAGCGTGAACGGGCTGGTGATATGGCCTGACTTGGCCCCTCCTGCACCCCATCCTGGTTCTTGGATCTGCCATTGGATGTTATGGACTGGCCCAACCTGACACGCGCCCTGACCTGACCCACATGTATGCAAGCAGGTATGGTAACCTGGTCTGGGTTGGGCTGCTCCTTGCCTTGGTTTGTGTGCTCAAGTGCAGGAACTGCAACTTAACAAAGGAGTTCACCAAACTCCTCTATCTGGTCTCCTCCCTTGGCAGATCTTGTGCATAATGGTGGGTCTCTGGCCCAGGTTGATTTAATCTACCTGTTGACCTGGCAGGGATAGTGTCCTTGCCCAATTGGCCCATATCCTTTCTGGTTCTTACTGTTGGGTGTTGCAGCCCATCCATTGTGTCCATATCCAGACACAGCTATCACATGGTTCAGTGTGAGCTGAAACCAAGCCCAGATTATTCTACACCCACCCTGACACTCATGAGTACCAGTGGGTGCTGGAGTCTAGCCCAGCCTGGCCATCCCCAGACACAGGCCAACTCATGCCAACGGAGATTGAAGCCATGTTCAGTCAGGGTATTATACTGATTCTGGCATTCTCATTCACTGATGAGAAACCTAGGTGTCCGCCTAGCTCCCCAACCAGGCCTATTCCCAGCCACAGTACTTGTTCATGCCAGTGGATATTGTTGTTCTACAAGGGTGAGCCCACATATTGTCCTGCTGATTCTACCCCCAGACCTGATTCACTCACGTATTTGTTGACTTCATGACCCAGCCTCACAGAACCTGTTCCCTTTTCTGACACTCTAGTGAGTTCATGTAATAGCCCTTCAAGTAGAGTGGCTTTGCCCATGGACATTTCAGAGAAGTTATTCCTCACCTGGACCTTACTGGTCCTTACTGATCCCCACCTGTGCCATCTCTCACACCCCCAGGATTCCAGAAAGCATTGCTGGGCGACCTGTGGGCCTCATCTGGCACCATTGATGCCCAGGCCACTCAGCCTGGGTTCCCCCGTTGCAGCCGCATGGCTGGGAGAGTCTTACACCTGTGCCTCCAGCTTCCCTCCACCAAGATGGTGGCAGTGGGTGGAACCAGGGTCCTCTTTCAGGACTTTGAACTGGTTCCCACATGGGATACTCCTGCAACATGCAGAGGTTTAGCCTAGTACTCCACAGCACTGCTCCCATTTTTAAGCTATATAAATAATTTTTTTGCCACTTCTGGAATAGCAAATGAAAATGCACCCAGAGGTTATGCTATTTTTTCTGTTTGCTTCCATTTGTATCACTCTTGGATAAAGGGGTGAGGAATTTTAAACAACTCACTACCATGCCTCCAGAATTCTGAAGGATTACTAGTATGTCATACTTGTTTGGCGTTGAACAAAGTTATTTCCAGTTTCTTTTTGCAGTTCATCATTATTCAGTTCACCTTTGCTCTTCCACTCTCTGCCCTGCTCCCTCACCAGCACCTCATCCCACTGTGTAACTATTGAGAGGGTTGGAGAATCCAAAGTGCACATCCGCTTTCCTTCGCTTACCTTGGTATGTTGTACTGGCGTATCCTATCTTGCAGGTTTTAGAAATTGATTCTAGGATACATTCCATGGTATAACTATAATGAATTGGTTATTTGTTTCCAGTGGATTGTTACTATAAATACGCTGTGGTAGACATCTGGGTTTTCAAAGGGTAGAGTTAAGGGGATGGATTTATTGGGGAGGGATCACCCCCTTTCTCTCTTGCCCTCTGCTTCAGAAGGAGAATACACAAAACAGAAGAACTATTCCACCACTCCCTTCAACCTCTGCCAGCCAGAGGAGACCTTTAATATCTTAGTTGCCTTGGTGGTTATAATTTTATAGCCCACAAATTAATTTCCTCTCTTACCTAGGATGCCTTTGCACCTCATTTATCTTGGTGGGTTCACGCTTTTTACCCTGAACATTTTGTGGAGATAGTGGTACGTTCATGTGCAGCGTAAGAAGCACCACGCAGAGTTCATGGGCATGCTTGCCACATTTCTCCCAGTGCTAGCATTTAGCAACACTATGATGCAATGTTGCATCTGGGATACTGACCCAATGCCATCATTGATCTTATTCAGACTTGGCCAGACTCCATTATCATTACTTGTGCTGTGTCCACTCACTTATGTTCTGTATGATGGTGGCACCTGTGTGGGTTTGTGTGTCTCCCACCACAGCTGAGAGGCCAAGCAGTTACTGCACCACAGGGTTCCCTGTTGGTTATCACCTCCCACTCCATCTCAGCCCCTTTGCATTGAAAAATACCCCAGGTACACACTGCAGCTCCTCCCCCAACAGGATGTTTTATAAATGGAACATATTAGTAGGTAAACAAAATTTCTCTAGCTTTGTGTTAAAGTCTTTGAATACATTTGTTCTCAACCTTTGGTCTCCGAGGAGATGGCACATAGTCTCCCAGAACAAATGGGACAGATATGATCTAACTGCTTGCCTAATCCTTCAAACTGTACCTTCAGTGACAATCAAACTACCCAGGGTGCCAAATTCAGAAAGTGCCCGAATGTCTGCCTCCAGCCAGACAGTAGTATGGAGTTTTCTTGCCAAGGAAAGATGGGAAGAGTCATTTGTAAGAGGAATCTAACTCAAATGATGTTTAATTTTTCTAAAGACCATTTAATTAAAATAATTATATTTTCTCTAAGTGGAAGTAAGGTCTGGGAGCAGGTACTTGTCAATTTCCCCCTCAGAGTCAATGTTTGTGTTTGTTAATGATCAGTGTTGCATAAGCCCTCCTGACACGCAGGCTGGCTCCTCTTCTTGGATCAGAATTCCCTTACGGCCTGAAATCAAGGTGCGTGATAGAACTGGCATTTCTGCTAAAGGCAGAGCATTCCTAAAGCTGGACTTGAGATTATAAACATGGGTGTGGAGAGTGACCTTGAACTAGAGGGTATGCAAGCAGTGGTGTGACGGTGGGAGGCAGGTGACAGGTGATTGTCCTTGGACAAATAGAGCATGAGGAGTTACTTTGATCATGAATATAATTTATGAAAAATCAACTCCCAGTTTGCCTTGGAAAATTAATTCACAAACAAGATGCAATTTGCTGTTAGCCATAGAGTTGTGCATATGTTGGATCTGGAAATCATGGATGGAGCATTATGCAAGATCAGATTCTGAAAGATCGTTTTGGGTCTATGTGTTTGCCACTTGATCAGCAAATAGTGTTTATATCCTTTGTTCCTGCAGTGCTACCTTTGTGTCTTCTGTATATTTGCACATGTGCAAGAGTAAGGTTTTTCTATGAGGGTTTTCACTGTGGCATTCTTTTTTCAAGTTTTAACTATTTATTTATTTATTTGATAGAGGGGCAGAGTGAGGGGGTCGTCCAAGTGCCTACAGCACTCAGGGTTGGGCCAGGCTAGAGCCAGACCAGAGTTCCATCTGGTCTGCCATGTGGATGCCAGGAGCCCAAGTACTTGCGCCGTTATTTGCTGTCAGGTGCGTTCGTGAGAACCCCAACGGGAATGTGGAGGTGGGACTCTGTTGTGGGCAGTGGGCACCCCCAGGTGGTGTCTTGACCCTGTGTGCCACAATGCCTGTCCCTTTTACTGCATTGTTTGTAGTCAGAATGCCTGTGTTACTCAGTCAAAAAAAAACTCAAAGTGTGTGTACTGACCAAACTGGGTTTTGGTTTTTAGGAACTGTCAGATGAGATTCTGAGTCCCCAGCAACCTTGATCTCTTGGGTTTATGACACTGAGATTGGGCAGGAGCATGTAGCTGGTTCTCATTGATACTCCTCCTGAATTTGGTGGTCTTAGTCTGTTGCTATTGATCTAACTGAAGATTGCAGACTGGGACCAGCGTCTGGCGAGGGCTTCCCTGCAGTGTCATGGCTGGACAGGAGAGAGTGTGTGTCAGCTCTGGTCTCTCTCCCCTTCTTGATGCAGCCTCCTGTAGGCACTGTCCCCTCATGGCTTCAGCCCCTCCTGTCCACCTCCCTAGAGGTCCCCCCTTTGCCTACCGTCCAAGTATGAATGAAGTTTCTTGTACATGCAATCGGGGGGACATATTCAAACCATAGCAGCAAGCACCTCGTTGAAAGCTTTGGGTGGCCTGGAGTCGTGGGGATGGGGTCTGGGTTTGCATTTGGGAGAATCTTTGTTTTGTGAACATGGTCTTAAAGGTGAAATGAAGGATGTACAATATCTGCCCACCCTTTTCTTCTTCCTCTTTCCCTTAGGGTTGGAGGCAAAAGGCCTGAGCTGGGCCTTCTGGGAAAGCTGCAGGGAAGCATTCGATGTGCGAAGGCAGTTCAGAACTGACTTCCTGTCCTTGTGAGCAATGTATTTTTATTGAGTCAGGAGGCAAGAGTTTCCTCCAGATCTCCTGGGTGGATGCAGGGGCCCAAGGCCTTGAGCCATTCCCCACAGCTTTCCCAGGCTATCAGTAGGGAGCTGAATTGGAAGTGAAATAGCTGGGACTCAGACTCACACCATATCGAATAATGGGTAGGCTTAGCCTACTTCACTAGGGCGTTGAGCCCATGAGCAGTTTATTTTTAAAGTGACAGCTGTGCTTGGGCCCATTGTGGTAGCCAGGTGGCTAAGATCGTTGCCTTGCATGTGCCAGGATCCCATAGGGACAATGGTTCATATCCTGATCCTGGCTGCTCCACTTCCCATCCAGCCCCCTGCTTGTGGCCTGGGAAAGAAGTAGAGGAGGATGGCTCAAAGCCTTGGGACGCTGCATCTGCATGGGAGACAGAGAAGAAGCTCCTTGCTTCGGATTGGCGCAGCTCCAGCCTTTGAGGCCACTTAGGGAGCAAACCAGTGGTTGGAAGATCTTTCTTTCAGTCTCTCCTTCTCTCTGTAAATCTGCCTTTCCAATTTAAAAAAATTTTTTTTTTTTTTTTTTTTTTTTAGGAAAAGTGACAGCTGTGCTGCATAATCAGTGTTAGGGGCTTGTTAACTGTGCTGGCTGTCTGCAGTGTGCTTGGGTAAGATTATTATTGGAGAACTAGAGCTTCTGGGAGTTTTTAGATGTGAAGTTCCCTTTCTAAAGCTTTTAATACATGCAATGAAACAGAAGTACAAGCTAAAAGTACACCCATGAATTACCACTGGTCTCTGTGGTAAGAACTCTT